GTGGTGAATAAATGTTAAATGTGCACAGCACTAAGAATTACAAATCTGACCTAGATTTGAACAAGGGCCTATTTTTAACTGAGAGCCTTTTTTTTCTAAGTAAGTCAAGGGCTTATAAACTTAATGTGGGTCATACAGCCCTGTTGTAACTACCTGACTCTGCCATTATAGTAACAGCCACAGACAATATGTAAATGAATGGTTGTGGGTGTGTTCCAATAAAACTTTATTTACAAAATTAAGCTGAAAGTCTGTAGTGTGCTGACCCCAACAAGCTGTCACTAACTAAAAGATAAAAAAAAACAGACATCAATATTTGTATTCCATTATCCAACTGAGAAAGACCTGAGAGAAAACTGTGTATGTTGATATTTGAGATATTTTTGTTTTGGTCATGGATTGATCATCAGGTTAATCATCGTCTAACATGAAAGAGAACTCACTATGCACGCCTGGCTTCTCTCAAGCCAGGCTGCAAGAAAATCAGACCTCACAGAACACATTCCTCAGAAGGCTTTTTATCCTCATAAAGAAAACCTATAATTTCTCTTTTTATAGAATAAAGACAAAAGCACTTCAGCAAATGATTCCATATGATTCCTACCTATTTAACAGAAGGCATCAGGCAGAACCCAGAAAACTTACCTAATTCAAGTCCTACAATGAAGTTGTTTTGCTTCCCTGGGTTAAATGGAGATGATACAAACATGAGAAAGCTGTCCAACTATGAAAAAGTATATTTTTGAAAATCTGAGGTCTCCTATAAACATGAAATTTGATTAACAACTTAATATCAAGAAGACAATCTTGATTAGAGGTTTAGAAATAACCAAACCTTAAAGAGATAATCCCTGGGATAGATAAGAACCCTCCCCTAGACCTAAAAAAACCCCCTACAAACTCATAGAAATAGCAAAAATAGTAATTTAAAGTCAGAAAATCAGAGGTCACAAAAAAGAGTTCCTTCTTAAGAGGAGGTGACCAGTTCATATTTTCTCCAAGTTTCCAACAGAAGCAACACATAAAAATAAAGATTTAAACTTTTTCTCAAAAATAAAAAATGTATGAGACTGTTAGCAAAAGCAAAGTGTATGGTGAGGCAAGCTCTATCAGTTTTTCCTAAGTCAAGGCCAAGGTCTTCCTTATCAATTATTCCTATTTCTTCCTACTCTGTGTCCTTCAAGATGTTTTGCATGGATCTAAGGTACATATGAAAATGGTAGGTAAGCCGTTAGGCTCCATCACAATGTAAGTGGCATTATAAATGTTATCATTGTTATTATTATATCAATCTACTGAACTACTGCCATGCTGATAACCAAAATTTGGCATTCCATCTTTCTAAAAAGACCCTAAGCTCCTAGGAGTTTGATGCTTCTTCCAGAGCCCAACCAGTGTAATGAAAAGCACTATTACTGGAAGACAGCCACTTAAAAATTCTTTGAACTGAATTGAAATTGATCCCAGAAAACAGTAGATGTTCAAGAAAAGGTTGCTAAATGAATAAATAAAAGAATAAATAATAGTTGCCCAATGCACATTAGCTCTAATTTTCAGCTTATTGCCTTCTATTTTTTTTTCTCTTCTAGTTCAGTGGGTCAGGTTCTCCATAACCCTCTTCTTCCCTATGTCCTAGCTCTCCACCATATCAAATCCTGAAGGAAAATAAAACTACTACTAAAACAAAACACTACTCTTTATGGTAGTGTTTGTTATGGGCATAAACTTTCATTGAAAAAGTGATCAACAGAGAGACGGCACAATGACTGTGTGTGTGTGTGTAGTGGGGAGTTGGGGGAAGGAGGGACTAGTAGAGCCAGAAAAGATGACAGAGACAATAGAGAAGGTAGGGGTGGGATACGGTCCAAAAATTTCCAAAGATCTGGGAATCTGGAAGAGATCTCCCCTGAAGTTAGGGGCAGTCAGCAAAGTGCAAGCCTTGATTTTATCATGTGTATACTCCTACAATATATTGAAATATACAAAAAATTTAACAATCAGACAGATCAAACAGGAACAACTCAGAAAAATCTTTAATCCATAAAGGCACAGCTAAAAACAACCACACTCACTCCTGTGCAAGCCGTTAAGCCATCTTCTTAGGATACAAGGAAAAGAGTGCACATTTTCCTGGCCCCAAAGTGGTCCCTTTGCTGCCTCATGTTGGTAGAGTTATCAGTCTTTCTTGACTAACAGTCTGCAGTTCTTTTATTTTACCATATTCCTTTAAAAAGAATCAGTTCTAAAACTTATTGGGGGTCTAGTTGGCTATATTAGGGAAATAAAATTAGACATATTCCAAAAATGGTACTATTGATCATTAGTCCTAAATGGGTGTTGGAATTTCAGAGAGATAGGCTCATTTTAAAAACTAGATGTAATTGCCTGAGAGTCAATACAAAACCACGAGTTTAGCCCTTTCAGCATTCTAGGGGACTGAACTTTAATTTTGGAGCATTTTCACTGGATAGACAACAGCAGTAACTTTTATTTCTTATGGTCTCCTTTACTCCCCTTTTATAAAAAATGTAAAATACTTTTAGAAGAAAGAAATGGTGAAAAATATTTTAAAAATAACATCACAAGTGCAAGTTTTCTGAACACATGGTACTTAAAATTATCAAAATATAACCATTTACATGTAAGTTTGACTCTACTGGTCCCCAGATAATATTTTAGAATCCTATTGTTATATATCCTTCACTAAAATTATTCATTTAACAAGACAAAAATTATTAAGGATCCATCTATATTTATCTGGTACCATTTTCTGACATAAATACTGTATTTCTTTCCTATGTGTTATTCAACAAGCTCTCTAGCATAGTAATATTTTAGCTATTGCCCTTTAAAAAATTCCTAATGAATGTGGTATCACTATTCTAAAGGACCAACTATTGCACCTTGTTCATTCTTCTGCTTAAAATCACTAATATAATTTCCCTCGCTTCTGATAAGTGAGTTTTTAAAAAACTCTCCATTATTTTCCATTTAAGTAAAAAATCATGGCCCAGTACCCTCGGCTATCAAAAGAGCAGTTTGTGCTCTCCGTGTTAAAGATGCTGCTTGCCCATACCACTTGTCTCAGAAAATTCAGAAGTCTCACTAAAGGACCAAGGAGCAAAGCTGCTGGGAATGTTCACAGATACCTGATTTTACAAAATTTTGTGAAAAGAGCTTGCCTTTAGTTTAGTATTGCTCAATGTTTATGAGGGTTGTTTGTCAAACCTAAAATAAGGTGCCTCCTCCCCACAAATTAAAGAATCAAGTTACGATCCATTATTTCATTTCTGATTGTTTTTCTTTGTAATAAGTGGGAAAGTGGATACTGGATAAAAGTCTCCCCTGAGCTAAAGGACTCCACATTAAAGGCTTCAATTAGCTATAAATCAGTTGTCTTTCCTACTGGGGCACAACAAGAGAAAAAAGGAAGCGGGGGTTGTCACAGAAAAAGAGAGCTGGAAAAGCTTCCAAATTAAATTCCTAGATACCTACTGCAAACCTAAAACTCCACTCAGGGGCTGTGAGGAAAATTCAATCCCAAGTCAGTCTAAAATTAAACCCTCCCAAATCTGAGGTCCCCTCTCCAGCACAGCTCTTGGATCCCGAAACCTTTTAAAGAGAACCTGAAGAGGTTAGGGACCTTCATAAAACAAAACTCTTACGCTATAGGCTTTCCTTGCTTGTTCCTAAACCCGGAGAAGTACCACACATTGGCACCATTGTTATGCAAACAATGCCTAAATGGTTGTAACCATTAACGACCTCTCATTAAAAAGTCTTTCAAAAATTTGTCACACCATCTAAAAAGCTAACAGGTACATTAAATCCATCTAAATTGGCATTCAAAACACGAGCCACCCTGGTTTTTATCTTAAAATTCAGCGGGTAAAATTTCAATATTCTGATGGTTTTTTAAAAATATTTTTCTTTCAATCCTTAAGACAAAACCAAACAATTCGTTGCTGGACAAAATTTAGTTTATCTCGTAATAAGCATGATGGAAAACAACTTTAACCGTGTTGCGTGGGAGTAGTATGCGTTTAGGTTGAATGGGCGATGTCTGGAGTAGAAATCAACAGAAAGGAATAGAAAATCACGACAACTGTAAAAGGAACTCCAAAAACCATTATTTTAAATTGCATCTATTTCTCTCTCTCACCCCAATGGCATAATATAACCTTTCCTGTATGTGTAATCAATACATTTATTCTATGTCCAATTTGTGGAAGTAAATTCTATTTACATTAAGGTAGCGAACGCATTTCCTTATGTTGTGGTGCAACAAAAAATAATTCCTGCTTGGGTAACCCGAGATGTCAGAATTCGTTATAAAAAGCAATTTTTTTTTTCAGGTCAAAAGCGAACCCGTTAATATGCACGAATTTAAAGACTTCTCAAGTTTTCCAGGAAAACGGCCACTTCCTACAAAATTCGAATAAAACGCTGATATTGAATCTACTGTACTCAGAGGCCAGGTTTCCATGAAATCTGCAAAGGCGGCCGCAGCGCTGTGAGCCTGGACGATCCTACGCGACAGCCGCTGGCCGGAACCCCGCTAGGGCTGCGGGGTACCCGAGACGGTCCCCTGAAGGTGGACGGCCGAGAAGAGACGGCCAGGCTGCTCGACCAATCCGGCGGGGAACCCTTCGAGGAGTGGAAGCGGTGCCGACGCCTTCCCCGCAGCAGTCGGGGCCCGGAGAAACGGACGAGGCGGCAGCAGCGGACGCGGTTTGGGAAGCAGCCGTTGACGGCGACTCCCAGCGCCGCGCGGCAGGCTGGCGGAGGCCAGTCCCCGACGCGTCCCAAGACCCCGGCGGGACTTGAGCAGCCCCAACGCCGAGGACCGGGTGTCCCTCTGCTGCGCGGGCTCGACGGCCTGGCCCGGGAGACCCCAGCCCCACACCCCGACACGCCGCCCTCACCCCCTAACAGACCACGGAGAGGAAGGAAGGTTCTAGAAAGTCTCCGTGGACGGCTGGCCCCCCGCGGCGCCTTACCTTGGTGTACTTGATCTCGAGGTTGGGCGTGGGCGACGGCAGGAGGTGCAGGGACGCCATGAGGGCGGCGGGGTCGGCCTTCACCTCGCCGGGCATCTCGATCTCACTGGAAGTCATGGGGGCGGGCCGAGGTCTCGCTCGCCCGCGGCGTGGGCAGTGCGGGCTGTGCGCGCGGTCCGAGAGCCGGGGGCGCGCTCGCCTGTATATAGGCAGGTGTCAAGCTGGGGCTCTTCTTATTGGACGTGAGGGCCGAGGCGCGGGGGGCCGGTCCATCCTACCTAGGACGCCCCGGCGCAGCCCCGATTTACATAAAGCCCGCCGCCCAGCGCCGCGCGACTCAGACGCTTGAGACCCACGGTCAAGTGCGCCCGCCGCCCCCCCTCGCCCTGAGCACCCGCGACTGCGGGGAGCGGCCCACGCGGCCGCCGCAGTCCTCGACGGCGGGAGCGCAAACCTAAGCCGCGGCCGCTCGGGGCTCAGCCGCCGGGACTGGCCGCGCTCCGGCCGGGGCAGCGTCGGCGGGAAGGACACCTTGGCCGATGTCGGGCGCTCGTCCCGGCCCTGGAAGCGGAGCGGGGGAGCTGGCGAGGGGACCGGAGCGGGCCGGCGCTTACTCGGGATGCGGTGTCGGTGGGAGAAGCCCGGGCCCTGAGGGGTCCGGCCAAGGAAGGGGCAACCGACGCTGCAGCCGGCGCAGAGATCCCCTCCCGCCCCGGACCCGCGGAATCCCGGCTCCGCTTCTCTCCCGGGGACTCGCGGGACTCCCTCCGCTCTCCTTCTCCCGCCAAGGGCGCCGGGCCCTCCGCAGTTGCCGCGTGCCCGGGCAACCCACTTCCCGAAATGCGGCCCGAGGTGCGCCGTGGCCACAGGGTCGGGGACGGGTAGTGACGAGCGAGTTTCTCGCCCCACTACTCAAAAAGAGTGTCCCCGCGAGCCTGTCGACGCCGCGCGGCCCTCGCCGGGACTCTCCCGCCCAGCTGCTGCCCTCTGCTGGCCGGGACCACCCCGGGCGGTCTGGGCTGCGCCGGGAGGACGGGGCCTTGGGAAGAAGGCGCTGCTCCACGGAGTTGCAAGCTGCGTTGGCTTTTCTGGTCCTTCCTGATCCCTCTTTCTAGCGGTAAACAGGGACTCCCCTCATCCCAAAATACACAAGGATACAACTAGTTTTGTTTTTCTGTAGTTCTCCACGCTAACAGCTGTCATGGTGCCAGACATTGGGCTTCTCACTTAACTGCCCCCTTTTTAGAGTTGAGCTCCCTAGTTTAAGCCTTTTCGAAGCTCCAACAGATCTAGTTCTTGGAACTCTAGAGGTCAGCATGTAGGTCTACATCAAGAATACAGAGACCCCCATCTCAGAATGGGCTTTGGGGTCTAAATCCGTTGTCCAGATCAAAAGACCTTTGTAGGTCACTTGCCCTCTCAATGTAAGCCTGACAGAGGTCTACTGATTCTTTGGATGTTAAGTGTCCGCCAGAAAAGATCCTGACTTAGATACTTTCAGTAACTAAAACAGCCCTATATTTATTGCTTCGTTCTTAACAACAGTAGAAATAGACTTAAATATATCATTTCAGTATTAGGTCTCAAGAAATAACTTCCAGCCTCTCAGAACCCAACAAATCTACATTAAGTTACTAGAGCGAATTGGGGGTTGTGTGTGTTTGTGTGTGTGTGTGTTTTGTTTGGAGAAATTATGGACCTTAGCTGAGGGTCCAAGAAAGCGGTGAGATTTCAGTTCACAGGGGATCTCAATGGCTAAAGATTATGCCCTAATAATAACAGTATATGTTCATGAAATAGATGAAAACCTTAGAGGGCTAGAGATACAAATGAGAGATCAAAAAGTTAAGGTTAGTTGAGGAGAGAGGGAGAAGTCTGTAGCGAGGGAAATCAGTGATGCCTGTGGAACAATTCTACAAACATGTTTTGAGTGCTTTCTGATGCAAGGCATGGTGTAGAGACTGGGTTACAAATAAGACAGCTCTGGACTCTCCTGAGCTTAAACCCCCCATGGAGAGGGAAATGACAATGAGAGGCTGTGGGGAAAAGTTACAGAAAGAGCATCCACAACACCGTCTGGGTGCCCCACCAAGGAAGAGGCCAGCTCTCTGGGGAAACTGACCTTGGAGGTTGGCCTTAAAAGGAAGGTCAGCCTTCAGCATGGAGAGGAGGACAGAATAGGCAGAAGAGTCCACAAGACCAAAGGCATGGAAATGTGTGAATGCTTTTTAGGGACATCAGCGGTGGTGAAGAAGCAGCAGAGAAGGCTGGCAAGGCAGTTGCCTCAAGGTTGTAAGGCCTTAACTCAAGACACTGAGAAGGACAAGTCATCAAAAGATTCTGAGGAAGAGAAAAGGGAAAACTGTATGAATAAATAATTTAAAATAAATAAATTAAACTGATGAATGAATATTATTGAGAAAGACTGTTGCAAACCAGAAACCACTGATTTATATTCTCCTCAAAGTGTAAGACAGGGATATTCACCCTTGACACCCACCCCCCCACCCCCCCCCCCGCAGTGTGCTAATTCCAGCTCCATCACTGTGGCTGGAAGGAGCGACATGATAGTTTCAGCATTTGTTACACAGTGCATGCATGCTAAGTCACTTCAGTCATGTCCAACTCTGTGTGACCCTGTGGACTGCAGTCAGCTGGGCTCCTCTGTCCATGGGTTTCTCCAGGCAAGAATACTGGAGTGGATTGCCATGCCCTCCTCCAGGGGATCTTCCTGACCCAGGTATTGAACCCATGTCTCATTATATCTCGTGCATTGGCAGGCAGGTTCTTTACCACTAGCACCACCTGGGAATCCTAGTGAGGAAGAGCAATAAACAGATTCCCTTCTTATTTGGGCAAGAAAGGAAGGATCTCTTGGCTTCTCCTGAACATTTTCAAAACATTTCTTCTCCTAAACAGTTCCATTTCCGCTGACTACTTCAACTGTAAAATGAAGGTGACTTTCCCAAGCTCTCTGATTAAGGGACATTTTCTCTTCCTGATCTTACTTCTTTTTTTTTTTTTTTTTACTTTTCCCCATCTTTTACTATAAATTTATCTTTTCATAGGTTTCTAAGAGTTTGTTGTTGTTGTTTGTACATTCTCTTTTCCCCCTATCTTCAGCTCATGACTGTGGCCATTTTTTTGTGCAAATTCTTTTAATTCAAGATGAGGGACAAGATTTAGCAGAAAATAATAGTGAATTACAACTACTTCAGTCTTGTTCATTTCTATTAGTAGAATTTATTCTTCTGTTACTTACTTTCAAAGCTGCCTTAGCAACTCTTCTCATATTCCTGTTCTTTTCTCTTGTTTTATTGTCCTCTTATTTTATCCACAGATTTTACAGTGGTTGAAGTAGCAGACTTTATCTTCAGGTTTAACATTTTGAATGTCTTTTTCCTGATTTAGCTGAGAAACATTTTTTCCCAACCTTATAATGTTTCTTTCTCCCACCCTCTCCCATCTGTAATTATTTATTGTTTAGGATACATCTTGGTTAAAGCCCCCTGCACAGGGGAATGTACACTACAGCATGCTCTATTTATTTCCTTGTGAAAACAATTTATTAGGCCTAGTGGAGCCAATATCCTGGAGTCGTAGAGGAGGAAAATAAATTCTTGCCTCATATTTCCTCACCTAAATAGTAGAATGCAAAGTTGTAATTTTCAGGCATCAGCTTTATGTGAAGCTTGACTTTAGGTATGAAACCCGATCAATTTAGGCTTCTTTTCAGATTATAATTAAGGGGGGAAGGTATCTGTTAAATCGAGAAACATCTTTTAGAAGTCAATGAGGGAGACTAAGTAGAGCACAGATATTCCTTCCAACGAAGGAACACTTTTGGTTTTGGCAATAACTGAATGTCCAGCTTGAACATCACGCTTCCATGTTGAGGCACTATTTCAGCCTCAGGTGGCCCTGCTTAATTGCCTTCCTGTTCCCATCACTAACCACACTGACAGCCTACCTTTTCTAACAGATACACTTGCATTTTAATTTATCTGCAAAAATAAATCACACATTATAGCATTTCCTTCTTCTGGTTTAATTGAATCAGTTCCTTAAATGTCTCTAAGTCTAATGATTTGAAAGGAGCATGGTGTTTGAAATATTTAAAAAATTAGGGCCCTTGGGTTGTATGCAGAATGATCTCAGTGCTTATTTCAGATATAAGTGTTTCCTAATGATCTCATTCATCTCAAATGGGATATGTCTGGCTACTTTATTTGAAATGTTTCCTGAAAACTCTAACAGGAAAGCTTAATGTAAGGAATATTTACAGAGAAATGGTATTTAATATACTAACAAAAGCTTATAAAGAGCTTTACATATTTTTATCCAGAAGTGCTTAATGAAGTATTTTGGACCCATTATGAAAACTTCTATAAAATAAATTCACTTACATTTTTTTATTTAATGTGAATATTAACTTTTTATTTGGGATCTAAATGCTCACTTAATTATTCTTTTCCTTCCAATATCTAGAGGAAAAAAGGTTGAGATTGTGGCACTTATTAACCATAAAAATTCTCTACATATTAATTCCCTATGCCCAATGTGGCCTCTGGTCACTATATTCTATGAAAAAGAGTATTTATGGTTGCAGGGAGTAGATTCCTAATTGGTCATGACTCCAAAAATCATGTTTTGATACAAAACACAATTCTTTCCTTTTAAAATATATCTTCCAGCTTTTGAGAACCTCAGGAGACCGTTTTAAAAGTGGAAACTAGATTCCGCTTTGTTGTAAAGCCCAGTTCCACCTCATATATGTTTTAGAGGCTTAAATTTGGTTGCAGAGATGAGCTCAGTACTTTATCAATAATCACACTTAACAGGCAGAGAGAAAAATTAAAATCTCAGCTCTGGAGTCTTTTCTGATGGCCCGGAGGAAAAAAAGGCATTAGCTCCCTCTGCAGTTGATGGTATGTAGGTGCAAGTAAATATTGTCATTTAAAAAGCAATAGCTTGGATTCAATGTATGCATCTGATACTGGTAAGAACTCTTTTGTTAAATGTTACAGTTTTAATCTGAATTACTTTAGAGGAAAAAAAATACTTGAGATTCAGACAAATTTTACATTGCAGTTAGACTATCATCGAAAGATCATTTG